CAAACATTCATAAATTATACAAAAATAAACTCCAAAGTCAGCGGCGAACCAAAAAAAAAATAAATAGGGAGACAACAACTGCAAAGGCTAGTAAATAATATGAAAAAAAGAAAAAATGCAGAGCTTGCAACTAACCGCTGCATGTGCATAATTTATAAAGCTAATTAAACGCGCATTTAACTAATTAAAAATATAGCGCGCTTCAATTATTGAAATATGCTGCAGCAGCAGCAGCGGCAGCTGCCCCTCGGCCAATTATGATGATATGCTGGACTCCAGTAAATTTACAAATTTGCAATTAAAATGGAACAGTTTTTCGCAATGCATTTCAAATATCAAATGCCGAACGTTGCGTATGCACAATGCTAATCAAAATGTATATTACGTATACGACAGCGTGACATGTGTTGGAACGCGCGAGGGGTGTGTTGAGGTGTGGTATGATATGTATTTGCGTGTGTGTGTGTGTGTGTGTGTGTGTCAAGCGAACAGCTAATTTGGTCTATTGTCGATTTTTTGGCTTTTAGCAGGCAAACACTAATTGACATTTTGCTATGAAAGGTAGAACTGGCGCGGGGGTGGGTGGGCGCTGTCGCGGGGCGTTAGCTAACAGTAAATGCAATGGAAAAACAGTTTCAATTAAGCAATTAGCGCCATTGAAACAAATCCAACACGTTTTGTGGCTTATAAACTGAAGCATCATCATATCGACTCGGCCAATTTCCGCCCTTTAACCCAACGGCTTTGGCTGTTTTGCGGGTAATACTCTGTTTAGTTATTGGCCTGTTGCGGGCATTAGCATTGGCCCTCTGCATTGCCAAACTCGATTTTAGTTACTGCTACTTATTTGGCATTTACAAAGCGCCGTATTTGTTGTTGTTGCTGTTTTGGTTTTCGGTTTGGGTTGGGTTGGGTTTGGGTTTTATTCATTTAGCATATTTTTGTGAATTTCACGTTAGATTCAATAAAGCTAAAATAACAAACAATATTAGCACGCATATATATAGATGTGTGTATATACAAATCTATACATATTTATCTGCTTATAAGTAAGCCGCTTAAAATGGATGCTTGCTGTGAAAAACATTTGATACACAACTGGAAAATGTATTGACGTCAAAGCTGCTTAAAGTCGGAGCCGGCCTGGAGCGGGGTGAAAGTCACATTTAATTCCCTTATGACAATGATAATCATGATGTTCATGATGTTCATGATGTTGATGATGTTGATGATGCTGCATTGCCATTGCAAATTGCGATTTATAAATTATTTGCAAATTTAATCAATGCCTAATTTAATTAACAATTCGCCGCTTTATTTGCCAGCCACTCGCATCGAATTCAAGTGCGGCAGCGGCAACAGCGCAAAAGTTTAACGACTTTGTTCGAGGGGCTCCATTTTCCGAATGTGTCATAAAGAGTGCTCGAAAAACACCTTCAACAAGTGCACTCAGCAAGATATTCCGTATAGCTGCGAATTTCAGCTATATATTATAAATATCGATGCGGGCATACATTTTTTTAAACTGTGCAATTGAGCCTTTTATTCCAATGCATATCTGTTGCATATATATTAAATTTCATTGATTTCTCTTTCATTAATTGCTCAAGCAGCAAAAACAGTTTCGAAAAGCTGCAGGTTAATTACCATTTTATATTTAAAAAACTTAATTTGCAAGTGTCCAAAAGGCTTACGTTAAATATAAATAAATACAACTACCACAAAGAGAAGAACTACGTTAAAGATGCCGCCAAATCAGTTGAAAAAACAACCAAGTGGCGCCCGCAACAATGACAGCTGCAACAAGAACAACAGCAACAACAACAATGACATCGACAACAAGTACAACAAGAAGAAGAAGAGCAGGCACAGAGATAAACAACTCATTAAAAGGAAATTAAACAGCCGTGAACCGAAAAACGTCACTCATACGCACCGTAATACCGGAGACAATGCGTACAACGTTGCGTATGCGTGACGTCGCGATGTTTGATAATTATGCACGCATGTACTTAAATTTAATATGTATATTACGGCTGTCACATTGTTTGTAAAAGCCCACATAAATAGCTTTCCGCCTGCGCTCGCTGCTTTTTGTTTAACTTGTGCGCAAGGGTATTTGTTATTCGGTTTTTGTCTCAGCCAAGAGTATACGTTCTTCTTTTATAATTATTTACAGTATGCTCGGCGCACACTTAATAAGCAATAATAAACGAAATCATTTTTAAATATTTGCATAACAATGCCGCAAATATTCAGCAAACTTGGAATTCTAGATGGTTTCAAGACTTTATTTCAAATTTATGTATATTATTCTGCGCGGCCTAGAAATGTTTATAAATATCGCTACAAACAAAAATAAGCCAAAGCCGAGGCAATGCTAAGTGGGGGGCTGTGTTTTTGGTGTTGTACGCATGCCAATTTTGACGTTGAAGTTTTGTTTGTATATCCATTACAAATGGGTAAAAAGGGTATACTGTTTTTTGTGCGAAAGTATGTAAATGTATGGAAAAGGAAGCTTCTCCGATATTGATCAGCATCAATAGCCGAGTCGATCTAGCCATGTCCGTCCGTCTGTTCGTCTGTTGCTCTTTTCTGTCTGTCCGTCTTTTCAGCCAACCGTATGTGTAAATGCGTCGATCTCAGAACCTTTAAGAGCTAGAGACTTGAAAATAGGTCTTCTTAGTGCCCGCGCAGTACGAGTTTGTTGCCGATAACCGATAACCGATAACTTTTATTGTTTCCAAGCAATCGATAAAAATAGACATCAAAATCTTGTTTTTTGAGCAAATCTCTTAGGTTTTAAGAACTCTAGCCACATTTGACTAGTAGCTTCTAGAATAGTATATACAGATCTAGTAAATTTCCTTCCCTAGTACAAGCTGCATTTGCTTAAGGGCATAGCCTAGTCGGGCAGCCCTGACTAGAGCACTCTTACTGGTTTTGTGCCAAATGCTGGGCTAGGCATGTTTCAAGTAGGCAGATTCCAGCAGAGCAGCCAAAAACTGTTCAAGTTTTTGATTGATTGTTTGCTGAAGAGGAGCCGAAGTGCATTCCCTAGAGATGAAACAACTAATTTCACACTTGGAAATGCAGTTGAAAGCGACGAAATATTCTCAACATTTTTAGGCGAGTTTCAGATGGATGCAAAAAAGTATTTCAATAGTTGATTGAGAGCGAGTCACTTTCTTTGTTTATAGAACGCAATGTTTTTTGGCGAACTCTGTAGTATAAGACAATAAAAACAAATGTGGATGTGATAATGTGCTATGTAGTAATCCTTTGTGCGGTATATGGACTTGATTATCTTATTGCCTATAGCGTTATCTTGCCCCATTGAAATGGATATCGTTCGTTCACCCATTGATTGGCCCCTTTCAGGTACTTGAGCACTTGGTATTGCCTGCATTTGATGCCGCCCATTGTTATTGGTTGCACCTCTGTCAGAGCCTGTGCTGAATGCCACAGCGATTGGCTGCTGGCTAATCAAAACGAAAGTGGCCCAGTGACTCGGTATTTGGCCATTAGCAAGCAATCGAGCTGCGGGCCGCATGAAGACGATTCTTTTGTTTGCTGTGCTGTGCTGCTTTGGTACAAAGCAATTTAAATTAATTAACACAAATTTGCAGTGTAATCGAGCCTCGAACTGGGCAAACAGCACTTGAGTCGTCTCCGTCTTCTAGTCTTGTAGTCTTCTAGCCCGAAATGGGCCACTTGACTGCAGCTTTAATTAACTGAAAATGTTATGTTTGTTTTTGGCTGGCAAACAAAAGACGAGCCAAAGGGGCTAACAACGATACAGAGATAAGAACCAAATGCATTTGTGTGTCGATGTCGATGTCGATGTTGTGTGTGTGTGCGTGCGTGTGTGTGCGTGCTTAATCATTGTAACTAGAAATTTATTAGCTAATTGCCTTATAATTTATAATTAGAACAAAGCCAGACACCAATTATGATAGCAGACCAATTGCCCGGCAACAGAAGTTCTGTTTCTGGTTTCAAGACCACAATTATTTGGCAATTGGCAACGCAAACAAGCGGCTAAAATAGAAATAGTTAGTCAAACAGAAAGACAGTCATTTGTTTATTTATCATTCAGCGAATTATTTCTGAAATGCTTTTGTCTAAGCTCTTAAAATATATTCACAGCTCACAAGTCACAAGACTTCTGGCTTCACACGCTAAGCAAATAAATAGCGCTAAAATTTCAATTTATTTGAATTCGTTTTGCTGCCGTGTCTAATTGTGACTCATTTTATCATAATAATATTCCCCAACATCATCATCATCATCATCAGCTTTCTCATCGTCAGTCACATTCGAGCTTAAGTTTTGTTTTTGCTGCATTTGATGCGTAACTTCTTTGTCCACAGACTTTGCTTTGGCACTTTGTTTATTTGCTTGTGTTTTAATTGTCCAAATGCTCTGCAATTCTTGACTAAGTATATTACACACACACACACTGACCGATTTTAAATGGGGTATTTTAAGAGCCATTGCTCATTTGAACAGACATTTTGGTACACTGCGTAAGACCTTATAAATGGAACTTTTAAGCCTTGACGCGTTTATGATTCAGTGTTGCTTTCAACAACTTGCTAAGTGGAATTAATCATTTGGCGAGTGTGTTTTTGCATCAATAAAAAACAATTTAGTGCACCTGGCAGAATCGACAACGCCTATCGATAAATTTATACTAAACAAATTAAGATAAATATCAACATGTTATCAATTGTTGCCAACATATTCTCTCTTTTATAAATTGCTGTCAATTTCGATAGCTTGTTAAATCGATATCGAAAGCAATGACAAAATTTCGATAGCTTACATATTTCGATAAGTTTCCCACAAATTGATATTAACTAAGTTTAGACATAAGTTTACCTATATAAAAGTCTTCTACTATCACCTCTAAGTTCTACTTTGCGTATACGCAATGTTTTGTCAATAACTTATCAAGTATACGCCATGTGGCGCGTGGCAAATACTCAAAAACTCACATGAATTCTTCCACTGTTGAAACTTGTGATACAGGAAGCACGCACATATGAAGAATATCACAAATACAATGAGCAGCGTGAGAATGACGCCTATCCAAATATCGCTGACCACATGAGCAAAGTCCTCCTCTTCGCCCGTGTAAATGCGCGAGCCGTGTGCTATATGTGTTGTCGGAGCATGTGCAGCGGGTATCACATCGCTGAAGATCAGATCGTCGGCAACATCGGCCACATCGTTGGCAGAGGCGCCATTCAAATTAATTTCCACCTCCTGGCGATCGATGGTGAAGTTGCCCAGCGCCGAGTCCAGGCCCAGCGCCAATTGTTCCAGCTTGTTAATCAGTATGGAATAATTGCCGGGCAGATCGAAGCCGTCCATTTGAATTTTCTCGCCGCTGCTCGTGGCATTCGCCAACGTTGTTGTTGTGCTTGTGGTAGTCATATTCATGGCCGTGGCATTGAGACTGGGCTCCGCGGCGGCAATCAGTGCAATGGGATTCGGGGCATTCTCGAGGCTGTTGTCTTCAAGGCCTGCCAGCAAATTGCCCGTCAAATTGAGCGCCTTGAGTAACTCGACCATGTTTGCAGTTGATGTAGTTTTTCTCGTTGTTGTTGTTAATATGTCTCTTCTATGTGGGGGCACACGCGTTCTGTGGTTCAGCGCTGAGGCTGTGGCTTCATTTCGCGACTGAAAACCGCCGACGAGTGTAAAGTTGCAAATTTGTTGTGGCGCTTTTTGTCGACAGCCTCGCTGCGTATTTCTTTTATTGTTTTTATTATTTAGTTAACAGTTTTTTTTGCTGCTTCGTTTCGTATTTTTATATGTACATATATATATGTATTTATATACGAGATTTTTCACTTTTAAACTAATTGTATTAACGCGTTTGTGTTAATTCGCCATACGCATCTGCGACTGCTGCTGCTGCTGCGACTGCTGCTGTTGCTGCTGCTGTGGCTACGATTGCGGTTGTATCTTGTAGATACACCGTCTCGCATTGTGGCCGGTCGCTCTCGTTGCTTATTTGTTGTACAAATATTGATAGTGGCTATTAAACTCCTTACTGAATTTATCTTGGCAATAAACGTTTCTAAATAATGTATTGGACACGGGATATTCGTATCTCCAGCTTCGTCTTTCCATCTATCTGGCTGTAGCTTTAGCTGATAGCATATGGCTTTTATTATTTGCCAAGTCGATATTATTTTTTATTTTTTTTCAGGCTGTAAAAATGTAGGGAAGTGTTACTTAGCTTTGGTCGTGCTTGTGCTTTGCTCTGTTTCATTTACTGTTGCCTACTTGATGCCATAAAAAGTTCATCTGTTTGAGTTTCAAATTGTCAGCTACACGTCAAGAACCACTAAGGACAAGGTGCAACAATTCGATTATAGACAGAATATGTGGGCCCTCTCATAACCTAAAGGCTAAAGTTCAGTTTGTTGCAAGTTGCAAAATTCAATAATAATTTAATAGATTTTTTAGTGGGAATCAAATATTTGTTTGCTGAACTGTGCCTTAATTAAAAGTAACTTCTTATTGTAGACAAAACAAAACTAAAAATAAATTGATAAACAAATTTGAAAACAATTTTAAAACTCTTCTATATAGAACAAATATAAGCAAATTGTAGTTGCAATACAATTTATGAAGGTTTATCTTTTTAGAAAAAATATAAATAAATTGCTGTTAACTATTTCATTAATAAATGCTGATAATTGCGGCGATTGTAAACGCAGCCTAAAGACGTGTCGCCGAGCGATCTTTTGTTATCAGCAGTCGGAGAAACATCTACAAGCAGATCCAATTAGATTCAATTGTAATTGCAGCTCATAAAAAATGAATGAGTTGCCGCGCTCATTAAGCGACTTGCGATTTCAATTATTGTAGGCCTCAGCTCGAAATATAGTTGCAGTGTTTATATGCAACCATATAATGCCAGGCATAAAGGGCGCAATTAATGAATTAATCAAGTGGAAAATTTCGCTACGCAAAAACAAGCTACAACTGAATCAGAACAGTTGACGCTGCAGTTGGCAACCATTGAAATTGACAGGCCCTAGATAATGCCGTCTCGGCTATATATTCATAAATTCCAACAAGCCATTTATAGAACAGAGCGCGTGCCTCATATAAGTAGATTGTTTTGATGAAAATCTGTACAGATATCACATGATATACTACTCAACTTCCAGTTTTCACTGGGCTGAATTCCTTCTCATTGAAAACTACACAATCTTTTGTGAAAGTCCAAATATAAATCTCTGCCCAAGCTTTGTTATCAATTCAACTTGATAACAGCTTAGATACCAAAATTGCAAGTTAATTAATTGAATTGCACTTTACAGAAACATTTGCCGCATTTCATATGATAAGATACTAAAACTTTTGGTTTCTTATAATTTGTAACTGGGCTTTCAGCTCTATAAAATAGAGCTGTTCAAAAAGCGATTCAATTTGAATCGGAGTAGCTCTTGGCTTAATTGGCGGGCGAGCGTATTCTCAGCATTATTTTATTATGAGCGCACAACAACAATTGACTATGGCATTAGTTATAAACAATAAAAGAAAAGAAAACAAATCAATAGAAGACAGCGCAAAGACGCAGCACAACACGCGAATTGGAAAAGCAGGAAACGATTGCAATTTATAGGTTTTTTTTTTATTATTTATATATTATGGAATTACTATAATACGATTGTTACTATAGTATTTTCTCTAGAGTTTTAATGACGACCGCGCTTACATTTTGTTTACTTTGACGGCAACACAAACAGAAAAAAAACGAAAACAACAAAAAATTGCGTATTTTTTGACGCCTATTCCATTGCTCGGCCGGCATCAATTAATTTGCATAAATGCTTTTAATTTGGCGGCAAAACGGAATTCACGAACATCTCATGACCTCTAACAACATGTTCGTCTTCGAATGTGAAACAACTCGCGGCTGATTTGGTTTTTCTTTATTAATTATATATATTATATATATATATATTATTTGTATTTTTTATAAGTTTGAACCGAACGCGCGCGCTTGTTTACAACAATTAAAAACTGTTCCGTAGCGGCCAGCAATTACAGCCAAGTTAACTGCGAAATGTTTATGTTAACGTTAACGCTAACGTTAACTTGTCGCGACAGTGACGCCGACTGCGCTGCCGGCGACGCAGCTGCTGCTGCCGCTGCTGTTGCTGTCGCTGCTGCTGTACCTAAGTACCAGTATCTATATCTGTATCTGGGCAGCGACAGGCAGCACAAAACGCAAACAAGCAGCGCCAAGCAAAGAGCCCGAACACAGCTGACTACTGACTACGGACTACGGACTGAGCTGCCGGCACAGACTGTATCTGTATCTCGCTCTGTGTGTGTGTGTATCTGTATCTGTATCTGACGTGAAGACGCCGCAAAAAAAAATTAAATAAACTGAAACAACGCAACGGAACGTCCAGAACGTCAATGTTTTCACTATCGGAAATAAATTAGAAACAACTAACACACAGTTCTATGTTTGACTAGACGAAGCTTGAATACACTTTTTAGGTGTTTGTACTTATATACCAAATATTATAGTATATGTTTTACGAGCACATAATATTGGCCAAAAAGGGCAGCTAGCAAGCAATTTGTTTGGGATAAAATAATTCCAATTCGAAATAAATATCGGAAAATCTATAGCTTAAAGACATTTAATGCTTGGGGTAGAGTGAATATCTATCTATTTGCGGACTGTAATGAATCGCTTGCTAAACTCAAAATGACATTTAAGCCAGGCAAGATACTCTTACCAGAAGGTCATGGGGTTAGGAGCATGTAAGCTCTACCAAAATCTTGTCAACAACTTGACTGGAAGTCAAGCGACAACTATATTTATTTGTTTTGTAAAGCTTTAAGGCCTTAAAGCTACATAATATTGTGACTATGCTCTATTTTTAGAGTCGATTCGCTTGGTGAAGATCAGAAAGACTTGATCCATTCCAAAAGAGATTATAAATGAAATTAAACGACAAATATACAAAATTGACACTCGTATCTGCCTCCTTTACGACATGTTACATATTTAGTCAGAAAAGCATAATACTCTCTGCGAGGGCATTAAGACATTGCAAATTGTGCCGATAGCAACGACTTAGCGTCGTTTCTTGTTGCCCATATTTGTAATTTTCTTCGACTTTGAATAGCAACAACAACTTTTTAACTATTTAAATGCATTTTTAAATGTTACTTTACGTTTAACTTATTAATAAGCTTCCACTGTTTACATACCCTGTTTTCTCTTTGTGTAGCGCCAACGATATGTGGCCCATTCAGATCTTCCTGGGATCTGGCGTTCATTTTGTGGGGAATGTGTGTCAAAATCCCTCAGGCGGAATCTTAAATTGTGCATATCATTTGCAATTAATTGCATTTATATGAAGTTGCAAATTTCACGGATAATTTTCTACAGGCTAATGCTATTGAACCGTAATGAAATGTTTGTGCTAATACCCTGTATTGGCTGAAAGGGTAAGTAAATCTACCAATTTTTCTATCGAGGCTAAATTGATTTTCTCTGGCCACGGCTTGATTTGTCTACTTCATATTTTCTTAATTTCTATATTTGTTCATTTAATAATAGCTCCAACAATTTTCCGACTGTCTTGTTGGCAAATTTGTATCTTTTGGTATGTTTTATTATTGGGTATCTCGCAGCTGCGCATACCCGCCCTGGCCATGTTTATTAAAATTTGCATTTAATTATTTTGTTGAAATTTATATTCAAAATTGCATTTGATTATTTGCACAATTTGTGGCTGCAACATTGATAATGCGAGTAATGCGGCACGTTGCATAGTTGCGTAAATGCGTTGCATGCAAATTGTGGCATCGCTTAAAAGCAATTGCATAATAATGTCAACAAAGGCGTGCCCATAACGATTATCAAAATCACAATCCCAATCACAATCCCAGTAACATAGCATTCATGCTCGATACTCGCAATTGCATTCACTGCACACTCGAAACACTCATTTCGCGTATTCGCAATTGTTCGTGCAACTCTTTGTGCATCATTTTTTTGTTGTTTGTTGCCAACTTTAGGCCGGAGAGTTAAATGTTTGTTGTTTTAATCATTGCCAGCATAAACCCAAAATAGACCCGACTCAGTTAGTTGGCTATAAATTAAGTTCTTGTAATACCCTGTAAAAACAATGGGATGTAAAGGGTATACTTAAGTCTTACCTGCCTTCTGTTTATATCTATGCTTCGATCTGTGTTCTGTGCTGTTTCTCTTATTAACACGGCTACAGGGTATATGCTTATCGTTCACTCTCGACTGTTCTGTGCTCAATTCAATTAACATTCTACACAGCTTAGTAACACATGATTTGAGTTATTAGCTTGTCGCTCGATTGATTATAGTACTTTAAACTGAACATCATTTGCACGTGGCATAAATACATATGTAATCGATTGCATGCCCATCCCCTGGGCATCTCCATGCGACACCATCGACGCAGAGGCTCGTCCGAGCCGCAAAGAGAGAGAGAGAGCTTCATGTTATTCCACTTTATAGACATGGAATGCATTAAAGGAGTATGGGCAGTACATTTGCCTATATCAGGCGTATCGGACAAGTTTGTCGAGTAGCTATCTATATAGCTGTATCTGTATCTATTGTTATAGGAACTAGGTTGTTTGTTTTTGGAACATCTTAATCAAATTTAACAATTAAGAGCTTGCTTCATCTTTTGCTTTCAAATTGCACTCATATGAGCTGTTGGTCGCAAATTGTGCGGATAAAATATCGGCTATTTGATATCTGGTTCTTAAATTTTGTTTGTAATATTAATTATAATAATAATTATAAATGCCACACTTTGTATGCAATGGAGAGTGCATGTAAATTAGTTTACATTACACTGAAATAACATAAACTTGTTTTGAGAGCGTACTCAGAGCTAATTAATAAACGTATACTTAATGGGATTTAAAAAATAGAAAAAATGCTGTATATAGTAAGGGAATATTCTATATTTATGGTAAATTTAGGCAACACGTTTTTATGCTAAGCATATTCATTACGCAATGTATCTTGGTCGTTGGAATATAAAACTATCTTTCTATTTGACATTTAACTTTTATGTTTGCTTAGCTCAACTATGAATTTTATTGCCAGGCATTAGTAGTTAGTAGTATATACAGTGGGCTCTTAACCCACTTCTTGTGCCTAGTCTTGAGTGCCCCGATAAGGCGACTGAAACTGATTCTGTGCGAAATTCGCATGATTTACGAGCGGGCTGCATTCTATGGCGATGGATGCTTATCTGAAGTGCCGTTTATTATCTTGACAACTTAAATGCCGCACTGCCATTTGGCGTATATCAAATGGAGCAGAGCATTATAAATATGTGCTCAGTAGCACTCGTTACATATGTATGTAATATTTATGGGCCGTATCACCCGGCATTGATTGCATTTTGTTTGCCATTATTTGACTTTTACGATTGTGTAAATATGTGCACGAAAATGTAAAATGTGAGAATTAAACGTTTGAAGCGAACCGCAAAATTGCTGTAAGTATCGGCAGCATTTGGCTATAACTGGTTTTAGTTAAAGCAATTAGCTGGCACATAAATAGTGTTTTGATTCCGAGATTAGAGCGTGTCATAAAAGGTTCTAATTTAAATTATCTGCAGTTGAATCTACGCATATTTCAGCGTATGTTCTAAATGGCAGTTGTTCAACACTAGGATAGTGTGTCCACGCTATAAACTCACCAAAAGGAGATCAGGAGGGGTTCGCGTCTCAAATGCAACCATTTCACCTACACTGCATGTCGCGTGTAACATATTCACCACAGGGCGTTTTTCGGGTTTGTGTCTGCGCTGTAGATACTCAAATCCAATTGGAGTCGTCAATTAGAATATTGAACTTTCAACAGACGCATTAATCAACTTGAAAACAATAACAAATACAACAACAACAGAAGCAACCCCGGTAGAAACAGTTGTTGTGCAAGTCAGGGCCATAACAAAAAAGGGGGCCAAAATACTTATGTATTTTGAATACATTCTGAAAAGTGGCTTTTGTTATTTTTTTGATGGTTGCCAGCTTAAAATAATCAACAGGTGCAAACTGGTAACTGGTTGCGCATGCGTTAAATAATCTGTTTAAAAACAAATATATATATAACTGGCACAGAGCGACACTCAGCGAACTTAGTCATGGGATTCACACGCAGCTCACATGATGTCTCGCCCACCGGGTTACAGTGAAGTCTGTTGAAAGTGATTCAAGCGCCGGCAAGTCTGGCTGAAAGACATGGTAGAGCACATAATGATACACAAATGACACAATTGTGACAAAATGCCGCCAGTCTGGGATGTAAATCTATCAGTTAACTATGCGCTGTGCTGTGTGTAATTTGCCTATCTCTGGAATTTCCACAAAATCAACGTGGATTATATTGTACTTTGTATTCGGCTGCGAGTCATGCTGATTAGCTCGGCTGTGTTATTAACCTTTTGGACAGTTCTTAAGTCAACGATTTTACAACGATTCATGCAGTTGAACACGCTTTAATACAACGTCATCGTTGTTTGCACTGTAGCCAAGCCGGTAAACACAGACACCGGGTAGAGTCTATATATAAAGGTATACGTAAAGGTCTATAACTTATTGGCTTGCTTGGAAACAGCCAGTTTTTATTTGGTCTCTACTGGTCTCTAGGCAGAATTTATTGACTGTGCAGAAAAGTTTGCAGAAATGTATTATATTCAAATTAATTTGATACCATATAAACTCTCTTATGATATAACTTGGGCAAGGGTATAACGTAGTCGCGCATAACACACCTTTGTTCTTACTTCCTTGGCGCATTTAATTATAGAACATGATTAAGTTCTTTGGACTTTTGTACACCTGTTTGGGTCTACGAACGAATAATCTCTGAAGGTCTAAAACTTGAGTAAGCGGAAACTTAGTATATAAACATATTTAATCAACAAGAATGTTTGTGTGATGAGCCATGAGAAGTATATAGATAATAAAGATCAAGCAAGTAGGGGTGCTCTAGTCGAGAGTTTTCAACTAGGGGATACCCTGAACCTTCAGTCACGAACACCAAAAGAAGTTCGGGCTCGTTAAGCTTAACATTAATAAAAAAATAATAATAAAAAAAAAATAGTTTCCTAAGCACACCGAACTACTTGCCTTATGCCGGTCAGAAATACCAAGAATTAAATTTTAACAATAAAAAAAAACCCAAATTAAATTAGCTGCACATATACACAGCACAGCATACAATCGAATCGCAATTGGAATTATATTTACAGAATTCAAGAAAGTCATGCATATGTTTATATGTGTTAATTTATGCAACAATTTTTGCGATTCTGTGTTTCTTAAACGAGCTTGATCAAATTTTCAGCAGGAGATCTAATTGTGCGATAGAATATTAGTTTATTCTCAAAAGAGACAATCGAATTAAAATAGTGGCTTAATTTTGTGGGTAGATCCACCTCATTTTATTTATAACTAAGGGGCTGAGGATACTTGATCTCTATACACTTGATATCTATATACTATTTTACAAGCCAGATGCCAACTTTGGCAATTCTCGCTCTTAAAACCCAAGGGTCTAGGCACTACAGGTGCTGAGATCGACGCCTTTGGACAGATGGACGGACAGACAGGCGGACATGGCTAGATCGATTCGACTATTAATTCTGATCAAGAATATATATACTTTATGGGGTTAGCGATGCTTTCTTCTGCCTGTTACATACATTTGTACAATGCCATTTTACCCCTTTTACCCATTTTCAGTAGGTTTAGTGTATCGAAATATAAAAATCAACATATTTTTTATAAGAAAGTTTCTTTTATTTTTGTATATTATTAACTTTGTCAATGTTTTTTACATTAATGCATTCAAAGGCTCCTCCGAATTCTTTCCTGAATTGAAACCCCCTCAGCTTTGTTGTTTTGAGCTCAAATCATAATAAGTAAAATATATGACTCGCTGTCTCGACTAATGACAGTAAGTAATACGATTTGTATGTTAAAATCCTGCGGCTCATTTAAGTTTATGCGATATTGAACGGAAATGATCAAACGCCTCATTACGCCTCAGTTCCAGTTCCAGTTTCAATTTGGTTTCCTTCTTTTCAATAAAAAAACAAATACAAAGTAGATTTCTGGACTCTACTGTGGACATTGTTGACAAACAGCTCGTAAATTACTCGCCCATTTTTTAGGCATTTAATGAGTGGAGGGAATGAGGAGGGTTTTTACCTTATGCGTCCGGACTCATTGGCCACGGTTCGACTCGGCTCGGTCTGGCCGGGTCAATTCATGTTTCGCCTGAATGCACCGCAACGGAAGTCGCTGGCGAGTTGAATATGAGGTCAAAGAATGGAAGGCAAAGTTGGTGACAATCTGCTCTATGGGATCGATAATTGAATAGCGTTTGCATAACTCGCATGAGCTATTGAAGTTGTCTGCCCTCTCTGGCCGGCCCCTTT